CCCCCCCCCCCCCCCCCCCATAATTTTAGGGCGGCAGCTACAAGTCAGTCTGATGTGGAAGAAGGGACAGGGTGTAAAAAAAACAAACAAAACTTCACCTTCCTGCTCCTCTCCAAATGTTTGCGGATGTTTACAGCCTTCTTGATCAGACTGTACAGATCCTCGGGCAGGGTGGTGCCGCGACCCTTCTTCTTCATGATACGCAGGATCTTGTTGCCGGTGATAAACCTCACCTGTGCAACGCCGTGCGAGTCTCGGAGAATTACACCTGGAAGACACAAAACTCTACCATAAGTGAAGTGATAACTTTGGGATAACCAGGCTCAATAAAATCTATACAGGAACTGAACAACGTGCAGACCTGCCGCTCATGAAATTTAAAAACCAGGATCTCGGGGGAAAAAAATTGGGATCAAAGACAAATTGAAGCTAACTTAAAAATTGTCCAGGGGTCTGAGTGTGTGGTTCATAATGATTTTTTTTTTAAAATCATGAAGTATCACGTCAAGGACTCCTAGTCCTAGTGTCTGCCCCCCACCAAGTTTTGAATGAGGCCCACCCCAGTGTGCATGAACTTAAGTTGACCCCGCCGGCAGGTGGTACCTGACACAAGGCACGCGACATACACGCTGAAGACATGTGATGTGAACCCAACCTACAATTGAAAGTTTTACTGATGGGACTTGATGACGGCCTGACTAACCAGAACTAGAACAAAGCTTGTTTTGAAAGTAACAACAGAATATAGTATTGATTATTTGTATGTCGCAATTGAAACAGTTATCAGGCCATCATCAGAGAATTCTGGGTGGAAACAAAAGGGAAAGTAGATCTTGAGAATGTCCAATACTTCCATTAGGTATCGTTGAAATCGGGATGTCTGAGACTTGAGGCAGAAAATCGAGATGAGTAGCAGGTCTGAATGTCATAAACTATGGAAAGGGGAAAAGAAAAAAAAGTATGGACGCTAGAGTTGGGGCGAGCGGACAGACGGGTTCGTTACTCGTGGACTCAGAGCGAACGGGTAACGGACGGCCATGAGAGCGAACTGCGAACCTCAAGACAGTTCATTTTTTGGGTCCGCTCAACAATTTGACTCTGTCAGCGAGCGGACTGCGGACTTCAAGCCTCAAGTCAGTTCGTTTTTTGGGTCCGCTCCACAATTTTATTCACTGGGCGGGCGGGCGGCGAACGGACAAACTCTAGCAGACGAGATACTCAACGCGAGATTAGGCCCATCGTCTATTGTTTGTTAATTAGGCCTGATGTTTCAAACCACTAGCGGTGCCACAGGGAGTGAGAGAGGCTGGTGACGTACTATGTTGTGTGTAACCTTTCACCTCGTG